TATATATATATATATATATATATATATATATATATATACTGGATCGTGATATGAGCAATAAAATTAATTTACGAATGACTTATGAGCAAACAACCTTCAGGTTACCCAAGCTAAAAAGTGATGATTTTAGGAGTTAACAATAGCATTGCACACGCGTTACAGATAGTGAAACACGCATGATCAAAACTTACTTATTCTGTCCAAAAGGAACCAAGAACACGGCCTCAATTCGTCCAGACTGACCCTTTTCCGTGGATTTTCTGTTCTTCTTTGAACGCGCCTTAGGCTGCTCCACTTGAACAAGTACACCACGGAATACGGTCAATCCGGTACGTGGACAGGAAAAACGAACTTCGTCTTGGGCACCAGAACTTACCATGGAACCGTGGGAAACGTGGGAGGATGCCCAAAGCGAACGGTTTGTCGGAGAAAAATAATGCAACGTTATAAGAGAGAAAACAGTGCTTACTACGGAAAAAATAAAACAGGAACAGTGAAATTGGTGTAGAAAAAAGATTGGGTATTAAGCGATGCGGTCAATAGTATAAGTTGGAAGCGGTAACATTCGAGTGTCGGTGATAGCACGCATGTACTGCTTTTGCGGGAAGTAAATTAATCCACTGCTTTAGCATATTATCTGAGTCGGAATAACAGGTCAGTGATGTCGACGAACAATATGACACAATAAACCATAGTACAACCGATTTTCGGTAATGCAATCACATATCCGTTCTAGTAAAATAATGACATTACGTGCAACAGTGCTATTAGTAATGTTCAACGTTATTTTGCGACTTTTTTGAAAGGTCTTTCCGCACAGATAATTTTTACTTCGCAACCGGTAGCATTTCCTTCGTGCCAGACCTACTATTCGCGCCTATGTAAGCTAAAACTACTGCCTCACCACTTATTGTGTCATATTCTATTTCAGACGCGTCTGAGTTCAAACTGTTAGCCAAGCAAATTGCGATCCAATAATCTTTATAACAAAGAAATCGGTCGATGATTTGATTGAAAGCAGAAGCCTGACCGAGCGGCCAGGTCTATTGAAATAGCTGAAACTAGCGTCACATAACATCATCCAACTGTGCGATTGACCAGCGTAAAAAACCCCTGGTCTCGTGTTTCTTGCTAATACTAGTGCAGATTTGTTACTGGATAACTTAACACATTTGATTAAGAAGACGCTGGCTATTCTCGATTTCCTTCAATATGGCCACTTGTGATGTGTAAATTCAGGCTTTATTCTGTTCGAGATAAAGCATGTAGTAGGAATTGGAGGAATACACCATATTGTACACGAGCAGGGCAAGATAAAGGGTGATTCATGTGTAAGTTTAAGTTCTTATATCAAGCAAAAGGGTTCGTCAATATTCCAAAAAATAAGTAATCCGTTCATCATTTTGGCGAAGATGAATGAGTATGTATGCTGCAGCATCTCTGTGCATGATTTGTGCTTTACTGGTGACCCCCAGTCTCGATTGATAATCGCCTCATCTCCAAAAGCCTCTTATGGTCGACGGTGGGTGTTTTGGATTGTGGCTGGTCACACCTCAAATAGCTTCTGCTGAGGAACCCCTACTCACTGCCTTCGCGTGGCAAAGATGTTTTCCCACCAAAGTGAAGGGACGAAATGCCAATATCTGGGGCTAACACCCGGTAATGGTAATTCACCCAGAAGAGTCGACCAAAAACCCTGTTTCGAAACCAACTAAGAAGAGGCTTATGAACCACAATTTCCTGGTGCATCGACCAAATCTTCACTCTTCGCCAAGCTCTGGAGCACCGACATTCCTTTCGTAGACCCACCATCTCTGTCATCCTCGCTCTAGAAGCGGTTTTGACTCAGACCACCGCTCTAAACTCTGGGACTGCCTTTCTCTGAAAGCTGTGCCCGAGAAGTGTAGTACAATATTAAAATCCCTTTACATTAATAGCCGAAGTCGAGTTCGAGCTTACAGCACGCTTTCGCCCGATTTCACCACGGAAAGTGGTGTTCGACAGGGTTTCCTTCTCTCTCCTTTTCTAGTTAACGTTGTTACAGATCTGACTATGGAAACAGCCCTATCCTCGTGCGAGGATAGCGGTTTCGATTTACTCACAGGTGACAGACTGTTTGATCTAGAGTATGCAGATGATATTTTGCTACTAAGCGAAGATCTAGGTAAGCTACAAGCCTTTCGGGATAGCTTGAGTAACAGCGTAGCC